ATTAAATTTATTTTTTCGCTTTACTTAAATTAAAAAAAAAATTAATATTAACTGAATTATAATTGAATCAAAAATATAAATAATAAATAAATAAGGTGAGCGAAATGAAAAAAAAATTAAATAACCTTATACTAAATAACTTAAAACAAAGCAAATTAAAATAAATTGATGTAAAATAACATAAACTAAAATAAAAAAATTAATTAATCAAATTAAATATTTTGATATAAAATAAAATATTAAATAAAACAAGTTAGGATGAGTTAATATAAAATAAGAAATTAATTTAAATTAAATTTAATAAACATACATATAAAAACAAGAAGTAGTAGATTTACAATACAATAGATCTAAAATTATTATTTTCAATATTTATACATATATGTACGTATGTTTCCATGAATATGTATAAACATAATAAGTGTGCCTTATAACTTTATTGAAGTTTTTAAAAAATTTCGATTCCAAGATATATATGTATGTACATATTTACATGGCAAAACTGCTATTTATTACATTTTAACGGATTTATAACGTCATTTCAATTATACCAAATTTTTTTTGTAATATATCTACTTGTAATATCCTTTTTTCTTATTATTATATCTCCTGTGTTCAATGAATGTATATATATATTAAATCCGTCCAAAACCTATTTAAATCAATAACTATTACAATTATTCTTTATTCTGCTCAAGATCACATCATTAAAACCTAGATAATTTTAATTTTTTTATAAACATAAAGATCTGACGTACAATAACTAACAACGTCCAAACGGATATCAACGAAATTAAAATTTTAATCATATCACTTGTTTACATATGTATATCTATTCAACTCCACACTTCAATGTAATATCATGTTGGATAAACAAGCACATTTATGTATACATGCATATAACAATTCATAAATGCCATCCAAAGTATAACTAAAATAAAATATCGAAATGCATTAATTTTAGCTCACGTGATATTAATGGGACATCACTCGTTACCAACAAACACACAATATTATGATAATATATATTATATTATGCAAAGACATATGCATAAGTTACATATAAATATACATACGTATAAATCATTAACAAGCTTTTTACAAGCCTAACATCTCAAATAAATTATACTTTGCATTACATTGACGCGACATCACATCGCTTCACCACATCACGTGATTGTTGAAAATGTTCATGGCGGAGAAAATTATTTACGAACTTTAAGTGACGACACACGTTGGAGAATTTATTATCTTGAAATCATTTTTTATGAGCTATTAAAATAGCGCACAATATTTTTGGACATATTTAAGAACACTTATTTATAAATAAATAAATAATTTTAATCAAAAATGTTAAAAAAATAACATTAACGCTCTACGAATCTTGAAATTGCGGAATTGATAAGAACAAAATTTTCACTAATATCTTTAACTTGCATCTGCTTCCATTACCTACACACTCAGTGGCATACAATCATACAAATACTTGTAGATATATAAATAAATGTCAGCAGTTGTTTGCAAATGGAATTTTTTGTAGCTTTCATCTTTGTCAACGTATTTACTGCACGCTATGCACGTATGTGTATATGATTAGATATTTAGCTAGATGTAGTAGTTATGTATGTATTTATGTAAATAAAATAATTTATTTTAATTTTGTGTATTTTACTTTTTTATTGTTGTGTAGTTGTTTGAATAATTTTAAGTATATAAATATTTGTATGCACATATATATGTACACATATGCCCCGGCATACATAAATATATATTTATTTACTACCTTGACGTACGTAGGCTTGTAAATATATGCTTATACACGCACTACTCTATACCCAATGGCGCTCCCACCCACGTGCTTTTCTCTTGTTTGTTGCAATCGGCATTTTCCGCGTGCAAATACAAAAACTATTTATATACATATACATACGTACACATTATGTATACGTACATATATGTATGTATTTATTTTTGCTTGCGCTTTGTGTCAACACGACAATTTCAGTTTGTGAATTATATTTTTACATTTAATTGACTTTAACTAAAAAAAAATTTATATTGAAAAGAGTCATGGAAGCAATTTTTTTAAACAAATTTGGTTTATTTCTTTTGTTTGTTCTGCGCCTTATTTACTTCAGTGGATTGTTTACAACAAGAAATATGAAGGGTGATTAAATAGGCAAAGTTGAATCAAAATAAAATATTATACAAAACAAATAATTTTTAATTATATTAATAACAAATAAATAAAATAGAAATGAACTAAAAAACAAAAAAATAAATGAAATAATTAAACTAAATATAGATATAAAATAAAAAAAAAATAATAAAATATGTAATGATTAAATTATAAAATAAAATAAATAAAAGATTTTATAATAAAATAAGATAAAATAAAATAAAACAAAATGAAAATAAAATATTATAAACTGAAGTCAAATGAATAAAGATAAAAAAAATACTATACAACAAAACGAAATTTATTAAAAAAATAACTTACTACAAAAAAAAATTTTATATAATTAATTTAAATTAAAAATAATAAATAATACAAAATCAAATGAAATAACCAAAATTTTTAATGAAATATAAGAAAAACGGTGACATGACACAAGTTAAATAACAAAATTAATTAATAGAAACCAAAAACTTATGTTAACAAAAAAGAAAAAATTAATGAAATCAAATGAAAAAAGTACAATAACTTAAATAAAACAAAATAAAATACATAAAAACTTAATAAAATAATTTAAAATAAATAAAAACAAATTAAATATAGTAAAATAAAAAAATTCAAATTAGTTGGAGCAAAAAATATTAAATATAAATAGAAAAAAAATTTAAAATAAAATAAACTTATACAAAATGAAATAAAACTAAAAAAATGAAGCTAAATTAATTAAAATGAAAATATAATGAAATAAAATAAATTAAAATAAAATAAAAAGGAATAAAAGAAAATTTAAAAAATGTATTAACAGAAAAAATTTAAAATTAAAATATTAAAACCGAAATAAAATCAAACCAAATAAAATAAAATCAAATATATATTAATAAGCATAAATAAATGAAATAAAAATAAATGAAATCAAATAAAATAGAATTAAAAAATTAAAAATGAATTAGAGTAAATTAAAATACAATGAAAAAATGCAAAATAAATCAAAACAAAAAGAAATGAAGTAAAATAAAGTCAAGTAAAATAAAAGAAAGTAGTTTGAAATAAAATAATACAATTTTAAAGTAAAAATTAAATAAAATATAATAAAATTAAAAAAACTAGCGTAAAATAAAACAAAAAAGTTCAGCGAAATAAAATAACATGAAATATTAAATTAAATAATTAAAAAAAATGTAAGTAAAACAAATTGAATTTGAATTGAACTGAATTGAATTAAATAAAAAATCAAATAAAGTAATACAAACCAAAATGATTAGAAATTAATAAAATTTTCTAGGATAAAAATAATATAAATTTTAATTAAATTAAAAAGATGTCAAATAAAAAAAATATTTTATTTTATATTTAATTAAATTAAAAATATATTATTATTAACACAATTAAAACTAAATTTAATTAAATAAAATTACAAAATAAATTAACATTAAAAATTATACTAAATAAAATTGAAAGAATTAATTAAAAACAAATTAAATTGAATCAAATTAAAAATATGCAGAATTAAAACAAATATTTTGTGTTTACTTTAATTTAATAATATATAATTATTATTATAAAACAGAAGTAAATTAAATTAAATTAAAAGAATTAAAATAAAAAAAACTTAAAACAATAAATAAAAATATTATTACAAATAAAATTAAAAGAATTACTTAAAAATAAGTTTAAATTAAATCGAATAAAATTAAAAAGATGTAAAATAAAGAAAAAATTTTATATATTTTTTATTTAACTTAATTAATAACATGTAATTATTATAATAAAACAAAATGAATTTAAAAAAATATAAAATACAAAATAATACTAAAAATTATTTATTTATTTATTTTATATATATTTTTATTAATTTAATTTAATAACATGTAATTATTATAATAAACCAAAATGAAATTAAAAAAATATAAATTACAAAATAATAAAAAATATTATTTAAAATAGAAATCATTTTTATAATTTTACAAAACACAAAATTTTATTTAAAATAAAATTCATTCTTTTAATTTTATTTTAAATAATATTTTGTGTTATTTTTAAACTTAGATTTTTTAATTTAATATAATTTAATTATGTTTTATAATAATAATTATATGTTTAAAAATAAATCCAAATTAAATTGAATTACATTAAAAAAAATTTAAAACAAAATAAACTAAATTAAAAAAATATTTTTATAAAAGAAAAGAAAATAAATTAAAATTAAATTTATCGTAATAAATAAAATAAAATAGGGTAATGTAAAATAAAATGAAAAAAATATATAATAATTAAATAAAACGAATTTAAATCAAATAAAATAAAATCAAATTACATAAAAGCATTTCTAAGTTTCCCTTACTCTTCTAAATGTTTACAAACTATCAGCCACAGTTCCGCAGCTAAACGTGTTTACACTTGATCTTTACTCTCACGCTTAAATACTTAATTGAATTCTCAGTTTTTTTTTCTCAATTATTAAATTTGTCACAAGTGCTTTTTGTCCCCTTACAATATAAACTTCACGTTGTAACAATCATTCACTGTCTTGCACTCAAATGTGCCCTTGACTTACATTATATTACAATTACATAAGAAAGTTTCTATACATAAATAAACATTCTTCTAACAAAAGCTGTTTTATTTGATAATTTTTAATCGTAGTTAATATCACATCGCATGTTGACATCATATCGCATGTTGACAACACATCGCTCGCTAATCTCTTCACACATCACCTCAACATCGCGCAAATCACATTAGATATCGTGAAAATTAAAAGAAAATGCATGCACAAGGGTCTGAGCACTTTATGGGCTAGAAGTTAGAATTCAAAAGAACATACCGTTAAATCCACGCGTAAGCGGGTAGCAATATTAACAATCAATTAATTACAATAACTGTTGTAAATCAGCTAAAGCACACGTTTCGAGCTGTAAATGGTACACAAGAAAATAAAAACATGAAAAAGCACGTTTGTTCCGCGCGATTTTTTTTTTTCAAAAACGCGTAATATATTTATGAATTATTTACTCCACCGCATATGGTTTTTGCTAATACGTAATTATTTATTTTAATTGCATATGTAAGCAATATACATATGTATGTATGTTCATATGTGATGAATATGCACATAAATAAATTGTCAAAGCAGGAGCGTCGCACCGATTTTCTATTAATTATTATATTTATAGCAACAGTCGGTCGTGTTGAGTTCTCAGCGAAACGTACAACTTGTTACTTACGCGCTTGCAAAGGTACTGAATTTGACAAAATTCAAATTCTATCAATAAAGCCCGCGAAAAAGTCGAGCAGCAGCAGCAGCAGCAGCAGCAGCAGCAGCAGCAGTAGCAACGACTAAATCTCTCCCATGCATATGCATTTACATGTCTAAGGCAGATTATACAAATGTATGTATGTATGTATACGTATACATAAACACTAGTACGCCCAACCGCACTCAGCGATCCACTCAGCCAAGTGATTGACTAACTAATCGACTAACTGATTGCCAACTGAACGACTGACTGTCCGAAAGACTATCCGATAGACTGACTGACTAACTATACGCCAGCCCATTGAGCAAGTAGCGTCTATTGTGTGCTCATACTTCACCGGTAGCCAACCAGCCAGCCATCCATCCATCCAGCCAGTCAGTCAGTCGGTCATACAGCTCGCTCGTGCCCTTAGCACTGTTTACTTGCTTCAGTGTCTGCCGACGTGCCCACTGCGCAATCTATACACATGAGTATGCGAGTTGGCACGCCTCCACCCTCATATCGCCAACGTAGTACTCGCGAATGCAGCGATCTCTCATCCCTCACCGACACATCTTCCGTCAACTACTAGCTTGATGTTTATGTACTCGTATATACACTGTCAGCTATCGTACAATTGAGTGCTCAATCATCGGAAGCATCAAAATTGTACTATTATAGTATGAGTACACTTGTAAGTTGTATAACAACAACAAGCTCAAAAATATCACAACAAATACAAATACACAAATACAAAAAAATGCTTAACAACTCTATATTGTTGTCTAAACTATGTCCAACCCTTCGTTGATTTGTTGTTTTATTTGATTTTTCTTCTTCTTCATTAGGGTGTATGCAGATGGGAGCTTTATGTCTTCTTTGTTGGGGAAGGCACTTTGAGCAATGAGCATGTCACCAATAAAGTCCTCTCTAGCTCGTTACTCTCTACATCTCTATAAACAAATGCCCATTTATGCTTATACCATCCTCAGTTTACTTTCTGGCCTAGTGCACTAGTTCTACTACTTGGTTGGGTTTTGGGGGTTGAATTATGATGGTTGGATTTCGAAACGATGTTGACGGGAAGAGTATTAATGGAAGTTTTGTTAAGTTCTCTGCAAATGGCGATTAGAGCATGTTCAACTGATAAAATACCGAATGAAGTCCGTGAATTAATGGTGTGTGCATTGATGTTTTTCCCAAAAATATAGGGACCCACATTTTATTCTGATGGATCTTTCTGATGAGCTTTTTTATTTTAATGATAGAAATACACTTAGAGAAGTTGAATTGCCCTGCCAACACATACCGACCAGAACAGGACTCGAATCCTGGCCTTTCAAATGACAGTACACACTGCTAACCACTCCACTACTGGAGTCGCCAATAGAAGTACTTTCTTCCTTATACGGCTTCTAACAGGTCACTACAAGGTCTTACAACACTATGATTTTTAACAGGAAGATGGTATACAGGTGACCTCAGAAGGTTTCCAGTTATGGTTCTTAAGGCTTTATTTTCTTTATCAGTGTTTCGCTGGTCCCCGGTGTCCAAATCGGTTACTGTTAAAACCGCACAAATTTTCACCAAAAAGGTTTTCGCGCAATATTGCGGGAGTTACAGTTCCTGTTCCGACTGTTGACGATCGCATTTTTTGTTTTTTGACTTGAGAATTTTGTTGCGGTTTATGCTCTGGTGACATTTGTGGTCGTATGTGGAGTGTAGGATTGCTTGCTTTCGTTTGTCTCTCCTAGTAACTTTGAATCAATGACCGTCGTAATAAGGGGGCTGCTTTGAGGCTATATACCCGCTGCGGAAAAACTGCTTCTGAGAAAAAAAATTAGCAACACTGGCTGCTACTCTTTCGCCCGACTAGTGAAAAGAGATTGATTTGCAATTATCATAAAATAATGGGAAAGGAAGGCGAGCTTACAGGTTAGCTTGGACTGAATATCAGATGCCAATACCAAACAATCAACGGCATATGAGATCAAGGAGACACCATCTATTGGTGGCGAAAGCCTAAAATTCATACATTTTTTACCAAACGAATATATGTATATTAAGTTGTTCACTATGAATGATTTGGAGCCTTTCGCCTTTCCGATAACCCACTGAACTTTTACTCTATCGAAAGCAAGCATCATGCTGGTGTTTGCCAGTTATGACAGGTCAATTTTCTTTTGGTTTTTTTAACAGAGGAGTGTAGTCTGAAATGTCAGCTAAAATAGTTGACGCCCTTGTACAGGTCCGGCTAAGGCATGGCCACCGAATGAGATTTCTATACAGACACAGGTTTGACAGTAATCCAAAGCTTTGTTGTACCAATTTTAAGGGATCTTCGAAATCGGTCTGGTGCAGACATTCACGCCTTGTTGCCAGATCTGCAGATCTTGCTTGGAAAATTTGTACCAGAAATGAAATCAGGAGACCTTTCTTCGGCTCATAGTACGCGCTGCCGACGCGCTCTGTGGAATAAGCAAATCAACGTCTCCTATTAGCAGTAATGAATGAGTTATAATTTGAAACTAAAATTCATTGGGCAGATGAATATGTATGCCTGATTTGTAAGACCTACTCCTGTTCTAAGTGCATATGTATGTATATGTGTGCACGCATTAGTGGTTTTATTGGTTTGTACATATATTTCACATCAAGGTTATTTCAATTTCTTCAAGTATCTACTTAATCAATTGTTAAAGCTCTCACAAAATCTCCAAAATAATAATAAATATTAGTGTGTATAGAAGTAACGGTGCATAATTTACATTAAAGTAAAGAAAGTGATTTATTTAATTATTTCTATACATTTGCATATAACTCGCAACAGCATACGTATGTATGTAAGTGTATGAAGCAACATGAAACTGGTCCACCCCAAAAAACAAAAATACATGCTTAAATACCGCTTGGGTAGCGTTGGTGGGCTATTCCAAAAACATATGGATATGTATAAGAATGTTCTTATAAAGCCTACATTTTTTGGCACTCTTAAGTCCTTATAGACAAGTAATGGAACACAAAAATGCTGATAGAATAAGGAAAAAGATCATTGGGAGCGTTAAGACCGTATAGACTATAGTGGCCGAGTTAAGAACGCCGGGCCGTTCACTCCTTCCTTTCCCTGCTTCGCGGCAATTGGAAATATCAAGTACCACCTCCACCTGGTCTTTCGAACGGAGTGGAGATCTTCCTCTGCTTCCACCCTCGAGTACTGCACCATAAACTTTCAAAGCTGGAGGGTCTTATCCATTTGAACCGCTTGATATAGCCAGCATAGTCGCTGTCTCTTAAATCGCTGAACTATACTAATGTCGCCGTATATCTTGTACACCTAATCGATCCTTCGCATAATTCTTCTACAAAACCTTTCCTTCATAAACTACCAACGCCGACTCATCAGTTGTTGTCATCGTACCGTATATCAGGAAGAGAATGATGAGTGGCTTGAAGAGTATGGCCTTCGTTCGTCGGGAGAGAACTTAACTGTTCAATTGCCTACCCAGTCCAAAGTAGCACCTGGTGGCAGTACTAATTCTGCGTTGGATTTTAAGTCTGAAATTATTGTTGGTGTGAATATTGGTCGCAGGACAGGCGAAATTATCTACTATCTCGAACTTATGATTGCCAATAATGTGGGGACTCATTACATGCAAGACATACGTTGGGTATGATGGAGTCGAGTCTGGATAAGTAGGAGATTAACCGGCTAAAATATTCAGACCTAAGTTGCGCCAGTATGATTTCACTCCGTGGACGCTATTCCCAGAAAGGGGAGTCTTTGAAGGTGCTAACTGACTCCTGGTGAATGGCGTTTAATGCCTAACCGTACGACGTCCTGTCCAGCGGTTGTTTTACGTGTTGCTGTTCTTTAAATCTAGTACTCTGTTTCTGACTAGTGTGGGTGGAGGTTCAGCCTCTATCAGATGCCTGTGTGAGAGGTATCTGCGGTAGCAAAGCATTATGCTCCTTAACTGGCAGCAAAGATGCTTCACTGTACAAGTGATGATCAGGCGACATCAGAAGATTTCCTGTCGCGGTACTAAGGGCGGTGTTTTGGCAAGTCTGTAGCTTCTTCAGCTGCGTCTCGTCCGTCTCCGGTGTCCATACCGGTTCAGCATAGCCCAATTGCAATCGTAGGTTGCCAGCAAGGTGTCTTTGTCTTTTTCCCAGGTGCTGCCGGCTAGCGCTTTGAGGATTTTTATTGCGGCTTTGGAGTTTTGCAACAACTGCGGTCGTACGCGGAGGGCCTTCCAGGAACTATGGATTGTTTGTATGAGGTCCCCTTCTAGTGGAGGAGGGAGCTTCGAGATATAGAAGTTAAATTGTAATGGGGAGCGGGCACCCACCTTCGGAGCCCCCTGTTTAATCTTCTTGAATGTTTGACCCCAAATATATGATTAATCGTGGATTTACCGTGTCTAAAGTGGCAGTGATAAGTTTCAACCAGTTTCTTGACGGTGGGCTTTGGGATAAAATGGGATAGGATCTTAAATGCTTTATTAGGAGACTTACCTCACGGTAATTAGAGCAGACTGTGGGGTACGCCTTTTTATGGATTGGGCGAAGCATAAAGAAGTGTACCCTCTACTAATTGAGGACATTAGTCACTAGATCTCCTCTTCTGCAGTAAGTCGCCATATCTTTCCGTAGAATCTTCGAGACTTACCCTTGGCTCCTCAAGCATATCAGCCACTTTTTTTTTGCTCATGCTTCGTGCTACCCACTTCAACCCCCTACTTCATTCTGGATGCTGGATGCTGTATGAAGTAATATAATTATTGATACCCTTCGCAGCCTCCATGCGTGATCTTACAAGAAACTGGTGTATGGATTTATACTTGTTTGGTGCTATTATTATAATATTCTACCAAAGGTGGTTTTGGTGGTGCTATGATTTGAGAGTTATGATTTGAAATGCGAATAAATTTGTCACTCTCTCGCCATGGTGAGGTGGTAATTGTTAAAGCATAAAAAGTATTCAAATTAAGATGGACAGATCCGGTTTCCATATATACATACATAGAAAATCATAAGTACCTTTTAAAATGTTCTTTTTGTGTATGTGTGTTAAATGCAGGGGATGTGAACTAATATACAAATGCGAGTATAGTTGCCGCGTTAGGCTTATAAAATAATAAAATAAAAAATTGTTTTTTTTTTCATACAAAACTATGTGCATTACATACATACTCGTGCATATGTATGTACATACCATCTCTGTATTATTCATATGTACATTTCATGCTTGTGAATTTCCATTTAATATAGTTACCAATAATAACAACGGAATAATGAAATTTAGTGCCCACCCGCTGATGGGAATAGCAAAAATAAACCACGTTTATTGAAATATTTTCATAATCATAATTAAGTTTATATGTTTTATTTATAATATAGGAATTACGAAATTTCCGTTTCAAACTTAATAATTACAAAATTAGAATAAAAACTTATATCGAGTTTTACAAAAGAAAATATTTTCTAAATTCTTCTAAAAACCGGTCAATCATAATAATAGTATGTTGAAAACTGTCCATGAGAACAATACTAAAAGTATAAAATCGAAATCTATCAATTTTTGAAAGAAAAATCTAAAAATATTGGCAAAATTGTACACCTAAAAGTAGACATCATAGATACACATAAAAATTCGATAAGAACAACCAATCCAAATTTCAACCGTTTTGGAATCAAAGTTTATATGAGAAAAGAATATTAACCAAAAAAAGGCAAAAACCTTGAACGAAAACAAAAAATATATTTCAGTACTAATATACTTCTATTGAAAACAGTGTATTCAACATCTAAATTTTAACATCAATAGGTTTCTGCGCCTAAATAAATCCAACCGTAACTTCCGAACTAAATCGTTCAACTTCTCCACATCATTTACCGCTAAATTTTTTCCTTCCCTCCCGAGTAATTTCAAACTAACAATTAATTAAAGAAAACAATTCACATTTTAAATTTCTACAAAATAACGCCAAACTTATTTATTATATTATTGAAATCACAACAAATATTTTAAAAGTATTTTGTTTTTCTTATTTCTTTATAAATAAAAGAGGCATGCATATGTATGTGGTAGTAAAATATTATAAACCTACTATTTCTGCATACACAAAGGCTTACAACTAAAAGACACTAGCCAATATGATTTTCAAATTGTAATAATAGTATTGTGAGTCCAATCATTTAAATTAGGCAGTATTAGTACTTTGAGAAAAAGCGCGTAGGTGCAAAATGAATGTGTAGTAAAGTTAAAAAAAAAACGCTAAATTAAATTAAAAATAAAAAGAGAATATAGTTTGACTCAACAGCACTTAATTTGTATATAAACTTAATATTAATAATACGAGTATACATTGTTTATTCGAAGGTTCAAAATACAAAATACTTATTTGCAGATCTTGATGGCTTTTTTAAATACATTCATTCATTTATGGCAATCATAATCAGGTTATAAATTTATTGATGCTATTTAAAAAGCATCAAATCCAAGGCCAACATGCACCGTAGCATTTTATTTATATATATATATACAAATTTGTGGCAATTCTTTCTGTTTTTTATACAATGGAAATTTTTCATTTTAGTATTGGAACTGTTAATTTGTTACTATATTTATGCGTTTAGTTTCACATTTATTTCATAGAAATAGCATACGCAAATAGTTGGAAAGATGTTTTTGATTAGTTTTCATAAATTTTATGGCAATGTATTACGCCGGAGATCTTAACAATAGCATATATAATGTAGAGGTGGTAAATGGTCCTGTTTTGTAACAATATTTTTTGTTAATGCATGTCTCTTCTATTGTTGAATTGGTCGACGAAATAGTAAAATATGCGGTTCTGGTTTATGCACCATGTAGTGTATCCAACCGCGTGACTGTTGCACCCCGATAGATCTCCATTCTGCTTCAGACATCAAATGGGTTTTTGGCACCAATTTTACAAGCTCCTTAGGCAGAACAACGTGCCTTTAAATTAAACAAAATAATTAAAAGTCAATTAAAATCATTAGTCTGAGTTCGACAAATGCCTACCTGTATTCAAATTTTTCATCATAATATTTGTCCGAGTAGTAAATATCTTTACTCATAGTTGCAACACTTCTTTTAACGCGATTTTTCTGGAAGTGCAAATTAGGCGAATGTACTTTGGCGTTTTTGCAGCTGGCGCGCAGATGTTCTGCAACCTGTAGATCTTGTTTCGTTTGGCAACTGGGTTTAATATTTTCAAATATTTGCCTTTAATAAGATTTCACTCGATATCAACAAAATGTTTCACTTTATATATTTTTTTAAGACAAAACTTTCAAATAACTTCAATTTTATTAGATTTTACGTATAGAAAGCACATAAACGCTTCTTTCTCTTGCACAAAAATGAATTAAATTCCGCAAGGCGCAAAAGCGGCATCGATCGTTGTATTTTCCGTTTGAATTTTTTGTTTCACATCGAAAAACAATTCCTATTGCTAAAAGTGAGACAACTAGCTAGATACCTTCAATTTTGCTGTGACATCTACTGGCATAAATTTAAAAACCAAATGATAGTGTTCAGGTGCATAGTTTGATCGCGAGAAATTTGAATAAAGATGTAATATGTTTGTGGCACCTCATTATTCATCTCAACAAACTTTTTCAAATTGGTTCACAGTTTTTATCCTTTCTTATTAATATATGTACGTTCTTTGGTTGGACATTAAACCACCAACACAGAGAACGTAAATACAATTTACGTTTTACGTTCTCTGACCAACACGCTTACGTAGATTGCGAGCTGAAGAAGATATCGCAGCTATTTCGGACAGTGTTAATGATGACTCTCAATTATCGATTCCTCGCCATTCGCAGCAATTAGACTTCTGTTACTCAGCAACGTGGAAAATTTTGCTGAAGGATTTAAAAATGTAGCCTTTCAAAATACAGCTGGTGGAAGAATTTAAGACGAACGACCACGCAGAAGTTTTGGTGAATACGCTCTAGGAAAGTTGGCAAATTGTGTTCAACGACGAAGATAGTACTCGTATTTGGCTTAACATTTGCATGAAATAATTCTCAAACATTAAATTATATGCACCGTACTATCGATTCAAATAAAGAGTTCATGTATTTCTCTGAATTTCATGCGTTGCTTTTTTGAATAACTTTCCCATAGCTTTAAAAAAAAAATCACCCTTTATAATTAGCGCTTTGTAATCGCCGAAGCGGTTTTCGTCCAAGCTCCTCCTCCGATTTGTGGTTTTGCGTCTTGATGTTTTTCCAACAAATGAAGGGACCTACAATATATATGTACTAAGCCGCTTCCGAACGCCTGACGGCTTTTTTATGAGAAGCATTATTCCATATCAGAACAAAAATTAACTGCTACAATAAAAATTGACCTTTTCTTTATTTATATAAAAAATATTTAGTGAATAATATAGGCATAAATATTTATTTAAAAGAAATTACACTCGAATAAGCTTAAAACTTTTACCAAACAATAACATTTAATTCTTTTTAATGTTTAAAATACAAAACATGTTTGCTTGCTTATAATAAACAGAAATTATATTTTTTGATATTTTTATTATATATTGCGCTAGGGGAATGTATAACAAAAGTACAAATGTACATAAAAAATAGCTAAAGGTGTATAATAAAAAAATTAAATATAGCTTTAAACTATTATACTTCACATAAACCAAACACCAATTATTTATAACGCCGTTACTGCTCGATATCTTGTTTGCGGCTACATAAATTCGAATTAAAAATATTATTGCTGTAGTAGTACGTCTTGTTGTAAAGCTGCGAAAGACCTCAATAAGTAGCTTATGCGTATGTTTTCTACATCCAACTCTGTTGACCAGCACCACAGCATCACCAACTAAAGATACACACATATATATAGTTACTTTTAATGAGTAAGAAAGATTAGTTTTTTTTTTTGGATATACAATCTACTTACTTGTCATCTTAACTCGATCATAATGATCTCCAGTAAATTTCAGTTACAAATAATTTCACTTCCTTCGTGGAGCTATTACAGCTCGTGATAGCCTTCCAACTACGAAAGGCCAAAGCACAAGTAATGTAAACCAAAGCGGTGAAATATTTTCGAATGGCCACCAATTTGGGTAACTGCGTGACGCTCGTGCACTTTTGGTGTTTTGCACAACAGTAGTACGCATATCATTTAAAGTTTTTTCCAGGCCATTCATACGTTGATTTACCGCAACTAAGTCGGCGTTCATACGCAATACGGTTGCCTGAATTTGTTTAAGCATTTCACCGTTTCGTTGCAATGTTTCCGTCATGTCCATAGTCATATCCACTGGATCGACATATTCATCATCAGATTGATCAATCGTACCATTGGACATTGCGTAATTGGTTTGAATTGTATTAACTTCTGGCATTAAAGGAACTGCATATTTGGATTGCGTTGTAGCAGCGACGTCTTCGTCTTCGACGTGTTGAGCTGAGCCATTCACTAATGTGTTATTACCAATTAGATTATTTGGTCTGCTGACATGACCATTCATAGGTGTATTGGTGGGTAGCTAATAAGATGAAGTGATAAAGTTAGTTAACTGAATTATGTTTAATAATTTTTAACAACAAAATTTAAACTCACATCATCTTCCTCCCCACTGCTACCATTTATGCTTGCGCCATGTTGTGGACTGTTTGTACGTGAATTGAACGGTGAATTTGGGTGTGATTCGGCCAACTCACGCATACCCGGCGCAACCATGTCCAATTCATCTAAATTTATGTTATCCAAACCACTAATGCTACCAACGAAATTTTGAACATTTTCCGTAAATGACATTGTTTCAATAATTTCACGTAAATTTTCTACATAACGTTCCATTGCTTGTTGTTTTGTCAGATGACGATTATCATTCCAGGCATCCCATTTCGCTTTACCAACAACATCCCAAAAGCCAGGACGCTTTTGATGGCATGGACCTTCTGTTGCTTGCTTATAATAACCGTAAAATTTGAGCATCATGGCGGTGCTAGGTTGATATGGACCATTTTTAGGCAAACCCTTAATCACATTGACGGCTGCATTGAAACGCTCCTCTATCGAAGCCATGGTTTTGGCAGTAAGTTTATTGTATTTTAAGGCGGTTTTCAGATTTAGTTTCTGGTAAAAGGAAGAAAAGAAAGGGGGTTAATAATATAAAATTACTTATTAAATTAATTGTGTTTGTTAGCACTATGATGACACCAATTAAAGTTGTTTAGGTTGATAAGATTACAAAAAAATTTAATCCAGTTAATATGGGTAAAATTTGTTAATCTATGTTTTTATTTGAGACTTAAGGTTAAAGTTCCAAAATATATAGAGTATTTCAAACAGGTAAAAATTCACTTTATTTGCGAAAATTCTTTCAGCGGTTAAGAGGCATGAATTAGACATTATATAAAATTTTATTTCAACTAATATAATTTTTATCAAAACCATCGAATTTTTAAAAAGTTTTTATTATTTGGTATCATGTGTGAAAATATAGCATGAATACTGACGCGGAATAATACTTATTACTAGTATAATAATCCCATACTACACACATACATTTTTAATAGTCTATAATAATTTGATGCGACATATGGTGCAGGGTTGACCCCTGTTATGTCATTTTAGAATAGTTTTGTTCGTTAAAAACTATAATCTTTTTAAAATCCTATTTAATCATTAATAGCTAAAAAATTAGTAAAGCTGACAAGTGAGTTTAGCAATCGCTTATTGATTTAAAAGCAGAGTCATATTGCGAAAGCTGTACAAACCCTATTAACGTACTTATTTTTTAATAAAAAGAATAAATCCGACCCGGCAAGCTAATCATGCACGCACCTATCTTGCCGTCTGTGTATTAAAAGCGTTGTGAAACAATGCAATGACAAATAGTTACTCAACTAGTTTTACCGCACAAAGAATCGACCACGTACCTACTAAAAGAAATAGTTAAAACTAATTTAATGCAACCGAGTTGTTGAAAGCCAGCTAGAAAACGAATGGAGTAAGAGAGTGTAAATTATGAAATTGGCAAAAGTAAACGGAGCGAAGCAGATTCAATAGCTTATAATGATTGCGATATCTACAGCGTTAATTCGAATTCATTCGTTTCTTGCTTTATTTATTATTACAGATTTGTTTTGCGTCTCTCTTTTTTACGAGGTCTTTAAAATTTTCTGTGTTTATTTTATACGCTCTTACGTATTTTATAAACAGAAATGCAAATATGTTAAATGACCTTTGTTTTAAGCTGTGCTATCGCTTATTAAACGCAGGAAACGGCCTTTGCTCCTCCGTAGATTGATCGCTTACATATGCCATTAGTTACTTTGTGTTAAATATTAATTATATTGAATATGTATGAATATCGTTTTTACCTGGTAAATGAATCTTTCAAACTTGATTTTCTGTGGTCACTCCCACTTAATAACTTGTCATAGTTTCTGCAAAATATAATTTTCATTTAGGCCTTATTTTAATTTAAAATTTTGTGTACTTATTTGGTTTCGTAATCTGTACTTTATCGTATGATTTCGTTCATTGTTTTTTCCTTAATTACACTTTGTAGGTGAAATTATATTATTAACTAATAGAAACTTTGAAGTTGCACCCACTTTTTATTTGACTGAAAATCAGTTGAGGTTTTTGTTTATTGTTATACTTTCTTTCTTTAAAATATATTTTTAGTTTTAAACTTTAATTTACTTTTGATTTAGTTTACAACTAGCAAAAGAAATATTAAAATATTTGCTTGTGATTAAATAAAAATTTCTTTTGTTTATTTCTCTTATCACAATTTTTGTCAATCACAGGGTTGATGCTGCTGTGACAGATATACCTTGTCAAGCATTTAAACAAGCAAGTGTTTGAAGAGAATATTTTTTGAAATAAATATAATACATATTTTTTCATATAATATTTTTGTTAGTGCATAAAAAATCGATGTTTTTTATATTTGTGAAATTCAAACTGTGTTATCCCACTGAAGATACTTTCGGCGAGCTGCTCCTACAATTTATGATTTGCGTTTTGATATTTTTTAAATAAATGGTTAGACTGATGGTTAGGTTAAAACTGCGCCTCTGAAAAACGACCTTAATTGTTTACTCAAATCTATGACCTGCCAAACACTCAGGAACTGCAACTGCCATTATTACATATTACGGTATTTTATTTCAGAAATGAATTCATAAATTTTCACATGTATTTCAATTTACAAAGAATTTAATTTTTAAATAAGTCTGATATTTTTCTACGAGCTAACATGTTTTTCCGTGATTTTTTTTCCATTATTTGATATGAAATTTAATTTTTCTAAATTATTAAAATTATGCAGTCTTTTCCTCGTTGACAACATGAAAAGAGACATTAAGGTCCGGCTAACTTACAAAAATACTTTAATTAGCTAATACGTATATATACATTTGCGATGAATTATATATCTTTTATAATATATAATATGTGTTAAAATATTGTTTGGAAAAAAAAATAGCGAAAAATATTTAAGTTAACAAGCTTTGTTTCAGTCTCATCATTCCCTCAAGCATACAATTCACTAGAAATTATTTGATTTCTCTTTCGACACACATTCGTGTAATTGAATTGATTGAGTTAACAACGTGTGAAAAGTTATTTCGCAATTCAGTGTGTAATTATTAAAAAAATAGATATTTAATAAAGATTTGCAATTGCAAAATTATTAGCAATCTTTTAAACTCGGCGAAAACCCAAAAATTTTCGCATTTCACCAGTAAGTGAAAGGCAGTGACGCACCGTGACGAACGACCTTGCGAAGTTCGATAGCGAAGTGAAATACTTCGTTCTAGGTAAATTATTTTACTAGTATTTTTTTCAAAAATTTACAAAAACCAAACTTTGACATTGAGGCAAATACGCTTAATAAAACATTTATGTGCAGTAGACTAAAGCTGAAATAATTGCTTCAAATTCATACTTGTTATTGAAAAATTTCGCGTTAACGCCCCTCTTCGACGCGGAGGTGGTTCAGCTGGTCGATACGAAAATTACATACTTTTGTGTTAACCATTTCTGTCAAGTGAATTGAATAAGACGGTTCGGTTCGTTATCTGATAGGTAAGGGACAGAGACAGAATTTATTAGCAACTTGAAATTTGCGTTTAATCATGAAATTTGTTGCAACAACAAAGGATCAACTAAAACAACTAAGTAAAAAGCATTATTCATTGAATTACATCGAAGCTGAGCAAGAAGAATCGAAACGTATAAATAATTTACACGCGGTCAACTTTGGAACATTGAACAACGTGAATTTGTGTGGTGCAGTGAAATTTGCGAAAGTAAAAAATCAAAAGCAACAAAACAATATAAACGAATATAAAAAGTTTTCTACTATTTATAAAAATTGGAAGAATCAAAACTTTTATATAGCTACGTCTTGATTAAGTGCGCCCTTAGAAAATTTACTATCGTCAAAAATAATTTTAAAATAAAATCTGACAAAATCTATCAATCTATCTTTGAAAATTAACACACAAAAATAATAAAATAATAGAATAAAAAATTGAATAAACGCTCTTGGACAAAAAAGGCAACAAATTTAAGTACACAAAAATAAGTAAAGATAAATAAAGAAAAATAGAAAATCTTACAAATTTATAAATAATCAGAGCATAAGAACAACGCGCTAATACACCTCGTGTGGAGCTGTCAAATCCTTTTTAAAAAAGACAAAACTCAACTCTGAATAGTCAGTAGTTTATTGTATTCGCTACAGCTAATAAAGGGCTACATTTAAAGTATCTAAAAGCGTGTAAACAAGCAACAAACAACATAGAAGAGGCTAGTACAACAGACTCAAGCAAAAACTCTTATACACGTATATCCTTGTCAGCGCATCCGGCATTTCAGTTTAGTTCCGCATCAACAGTGTCAATTTTAACACACAAGAAGCGGTATTTGCTTAAAAGTACGACGGGTATTTTAGCAGGTAACACGTTAGCTATCAGCTCGACAACGGCTTCATTGTGCTCATACAAAATTTCCGCTACTTCGCCTAAATCCAAACGCAAAACGTCTAACAAAGACAAGAAAATGCCGCGACGCAACAAAAAGGGAGGCAAAGGTGAGTTTAATGCAATTTAAAATAATTATATTTATAATATAGTATACATAAGTTTGTTTTAAATATTGGTTTTATAATGTGGCAAATATATGTAGTTTATCAATTTAGCTGCGCAGATGTGCACAGAATGGCATAAACAATATTTGTATGCAAATGCATGTGTAAAACAATTAGTGAATTTAACGAAAATATGTTAACAAAGTTGCACTTGTGATGTATATGTGCTGCCAAAAGATAAATAAATGCACAGATAATACATAAAGGGAAGCATATAACCGCTGAGTGTAGAAACAAAAATAATTAATACAATTAAAGTATTTCACAATCACCTTTGGCGCTCTCAAATGATTCACATTTGCATATTTAAAAATTTTCGCTCTTAAATGAGAGAGCATTTATTGTTGCTGAAAAAATTTGCTCGGTTTTAATAACGTGGCAAAAATTATAAAGTTTTAGAAAAACAAAATCATTTTTTTTATACAGTAATTGCATGATGATGTAGAGGTATTTATGAATTTTAAACGTAAAATATGTAGATATACACATATACATATATATACATATATACGCATTTATGTATGTATGTATTAAATATGCTTAGTATTTCTATTTAATTTTATTAAAATTTTCAATGCCAACCGACGACGAAGCAACAGTCTGTTTTCATCTGCCAGCTTTATATTTACAAAAATATTTATGTATTTGTATATGCATACATACGAGTACAAAGGATGTAATATATGTATACTTTATATACAATAGCACATACAGACAGACAGTTTGCCAACACGCTCAGGCAGATAATAAATTGAAAATATAAACATACATATACCACTGATTTTTCATGCACGTACATATACACACTTATGTATGTATGTATTTCTGTTACAATACAAAGTTCGGCAGCGTTGGCACTTCCCATGTAGCTTCGTATACAAAAACAGCTGGTTAAAGCGTGCGTATCACACATCAAGTGCGTTAAATAAACTCGTATATATGTACATACATACGTGTGCATATATATATATACATATTAAAAATTGTTACATATTAAGGCACGTGAATATTGATGGAATAGCTGAGCGATATTTATATAAATAATTATACACTATGTACTATATATGTATGTACATGCATATATATGAGTATATGTATATAGTATATGTGGATACCTTTGTACTCTTGAATTTCTAATATTTATATATTTTTGCTCGTATTGTTATAATATTAAATAAAAATGTTTACATGCTTTGTATTTTATGGCACATTACCATTCTATGAATATGCTTACTGATAGCAGCTAGAGTATGTGATTCTTGTGTTTGCTTGGAAAATAACTGTTGGAAACGGGTGATAAGAGAATTGGAGTGCTTAAAAAATATTTAAAAAAAAATACACCGTTATCAGCGATACCTGCATAAATGTGTATGCGATTACTATAATATTGAATTTTTAACTAAAACACAAAAACAAAAACTTAGTAGAGTGGACACCATTCACATACTTCTCCTGTAGTGCATTTGTTTGTTTGATCTCAAACCAGTCTCAGTCTAGATATTCGATTATAATTGAATATTTACTTCTACAAAAAACAAAAAAGTAACTATCTTCGGCTATACCGAAGTCTTTAAGCGCTCATGACCATTTCAAATTTATGTTCTTTTATTTTCGGATTATGTAGATATTGGCTCTCATATGTCAAATATTGGTTACGCGAGATATATTACTCCGAAAATCTCATTTGAAAAACGATCTTATACAAATATGTTAGTTATAAATCGTTTAAATGTACCGGTGCATCTGTGTAATCTGTGTAAATCAATGAACCCTGAATTGTATAAATTTTGATGAGTCTACCCGCTCTCCTGCTGGTACTTGTTCGTGAAAGGTATAAGAGCGTCATTATGAGATTGATGTTATTGTTGTTGTAAACGCAAAAATATTCCCCAAAGTACTTTGTGGGGAATGTTGCGGGATTAACAGTCCTTGGCCGGATAAATCCAGGTTCGTTCCGGTATAAAGACCCGACTGTCGCGGGAGCTATTGGATTTTAGTCGCCTCTTGAACCCCTAACCCGCAGGGGTTATTATGAGATGGATAACTCGACTTGGCTGCGGTTTCGACATACATATGTATATATGTAATTGCCGGATATTGCTCGACCATATACAATATAAGGATGTGACATTTTGAACATTGCCTTAGTTGTTGTCATTATTTTTCCTTGAATAATACAAAACGTCTATAAAATAACGGTTATTATATTACGAAGAAGCAACATACATAGGGGGAGTCTTTCCTAAGATTGTCAGGTCTGAATGACCCAAATTTACATTCGAGTAAGGTCTCCAGCGAGTGAAATAGCCTCTATTTGGTCAATGTTACAACCGGTGCCTAGCACACCTGTAAAAATATATATGTATGTATATATATCTAGAAAAAGTGCAATCGTCTCAGGACAGAGCGACATTGAGTGACAACAACGAATTATTGTAAAACTAAAAATATTTTTTTTAAAAGCATGTGAAGTTGAGCACCAGCCTTGTGAGCCGTGTGTTTTGCTTTCGACTCTTATATAACCGCTGAAGCGATTTCCCGTCGAGCTCCTCCTCCAATTTGGAGTTTTGCGTCTTGATGGTTTTCCAACAATTAGAGGGACCTACAGTTTATACTAAGCAGCCTCAAACGGCTGGTGGTTTTTATGAGGAAATGTCGGAAATACACTCGGAGGGGTTGGCATTCCCTGCCGAGGGGTGACCACAAGTGGAAAATTTAAATTAATTTTTTTATTAAATTAATTTTCTATAATTGTTGAATGTTGGTCGCACGGTGATTTTAGCCCGACTTTCGACTCTTAGGCTACCAAAAAAAATCCGAACAGGTCTTACAAATACTCCTCCGCATTGAAGATTTCGTGGAGCCAGCTAAAATAATTTTCTCTTACGTCATTAGTCACTTAAAATACTGTTAAACATCTTTTTCAACACTAGCACGCCACTGGTACGAACTTCCTAACACTTATGTAATTGTCCTTTCATATTTTCCTTTCTATTGGCCTATTTCGATTTTTTTTCCATTATTTTTTACTTATTCGAAGATACATTTGTATGTATATGTATATTTATCTGTGCACGACTGCACCTCAAGTTACATCAATGGCCTCTAATGCCAGTTAAATAGCAAGACAATCAAACGAATTGGCTAAAACCAGATTTGGCCAACGAATTCACAAACCAGGCCAGCAACTTTCATTCAACACATGTAGACGTTATAAAGTACAAACCCCAACGTATAATACATATACTATATACATACATACATATTTATGTATCAATGCATGTACATTTGTATGTACATATGTATGTGTGTCAGTATTCATTTATGCGCATTTTTCAGACTTGTCTTGAATTTTTACCGCTTTACCGAAGGCCAGCCTGTCTAGCTTGGTGCAATGGGTTTGTTGTTGTTTGTGCTTAGCTGGTAAATGCACTTTGCAACCATCGGTATCTCCCAACACAATTGATCAGCTGTTTATAATTTTGTGAAAGGTATTTTGCGGTATTTCGGAAGCTTTTATTTATTTACATTTTTTTTATTTATTTCTTTATTTATTTCTTTATTTATTTTTTTTTTTTGCTTAAAAAAAAAAACAGGTTTACTTACATAAATTCGTATGCAATTCAACACAATTCGGCACGACTTGGCGTCAAAGAATCGCTGTAGGTACATACATACATATGTATGTACATATATGCTCTCTCACAGCATGCTCTGTAACTCCTTTGGTTTCTCTAATAACGGCCTATGCTATGTATTGGTTGAAGTACGCTCGTGTGTTTGGCTATGATTTATGTCTTACATATTTCATTTGCTCACACACGTGCACACGAGCTTTTATTTTGATATAAATATTATTGGTTAGACATATGGTCACTCGCATACAAACAGAAGATGTATGTTGTCATGCGCTTTCTGGTTCATGTGCTCGTTTTAGTTGAAGCGGAAATCACCTTGTGCCAAATAGCACACAGTTGTAGCAACAGCATGCAGCCGAATGCCAAGTAAAACAAAATGTGCACAGTCGTGCGTATAATACTTTAAATATGTACATATGTATGTACATACAGGTCTTTCATTTGGAAATGCTTTCCTTTCTGCATTGTTGGAATTTCTTTGGTCCATTTGCGCTTTTATACGGAAGCTTGATCACACATCGAAAAAGATATGATATGAAAAGGAAAGTTTTTTTTTTTTTTTGAAGATTGCAATTAAGCTGGCAGTATGCAGTCGTTCGTATTGTTAAGCTTATTTTTTAAAAGCTCATACTTTACTATAAAACTGTACTTGTCTTGGTACTATGCTGGTCCCTTCAGTTAACCTTTCTAATTCAATCAATGGAGTCGGAATATTTTGTATTCCAAAACAGACCCAGAAAAAACAAATTTAGTCTGTATGGGAGTAAACCGTTCGTTATGTAAGATATCGTTGTGGTTATTGTTCAATTTACCCTATTTCCGGCTCCCTACTTTTTGAAGAAAAAAAATAAACAACAAACAAATTAAAGACGGAATGTTTATTATCATTCGAAAGAACATTCTTTGGCATTTATTGAATGAATTTTGAATTTTGAAGTTTATCTCTATCAACTGTTGTCCTATTGGCTACGTCTCCTTTTGAGACGATCGATGGTCCATCCGTTGAGTCCAATTTTTGATGATTCGTTTGAGCATTTCGATGGGTAACTGACGAATGACACGCATGATGCTTTGCTCCAATTCCTGTTTCGTAGCGGAATTCTCCGGAAGTCTAACGGTGTGCTATTACTCGATCTTATTGGCCAATCGATCGGCTCTAAATGTGTAATTATCTGCTCACCAAAGTGTTCTCTCAATAAATCCCTGCATTGATACAATCTGTGGGCCGCTTCTCACAGTTTCTTGTTGAAACGAAATGTCGCCGAGATCACTAGCTTCAATTTCAGGCATCAAATAGTTGGTTATCATATCGCGATAACAGCCACTATTGACTATTACGTTGAAGTAATATGGACAGATTGCTTCACCGGCCCCTGTTTTTTCTGAATTATATGACAGCTCTTGAATCTCATCAAGTGGCTCTTCGTTCCGAAAGCGGAAAAGCGGAAATTTTGCTTGCTTACAGAGTCAGTCAGAAAGGCTGGAAAATGTCGGATATTCTTAGAACTTTGTTCTCAAAAAAAAAAAAAAAAAAAAAAAAAAAAAAAAAAAAAAAAAAAAAAAAAAAAAAACAAGTTTCTATTTTGCTGCAATCCTATCTGCCTTTAGAGTAGCTTTAAAGTCACCCACTATTGAGAAAAGAAAAAAAAAATGCGTCAATAATATTATTTCCTCTTTTTATATGCATATTTAATTAATAATTTATTTTTCCTAATGAAATCCGAAAAAAATAGCCTCGTCTTGAAAGAAAGCTAAAATTTAGCTTGGAAATCTGATGCTATTTTTCACGGCAAATTTACAATTTAAATCCCATCGAGGGTAATTTTATGCCTGAAATAATGCTGATGCGCTCACAAAAGTTTCAAGCCGATCGGGTGTTCAGTTTTTGAGTAACATTGACAGAAATTTCCAAAAGCTATAATAGGTACACAACTGGGAAGGTATAAGCTAACGAAGAATGTCAAAAAAGTAGATTTTTTTGACTGGTTGAGCTGATGAGCCCTTTGAAAGCATTTACTGAAAGTAGTCGCTGATCTCGATTTTTCAGAAATGGCTCAATCCTATTTATATCCACCTGTATTATATGTATTTGTACACACATATATTCCTTAGCTATAAAACGAAGAAATAAAATTAAAATAAAACTATTACTATTTTTGTTAGCTTTTTGGAGCGAAATTTTCAGTCGAAAATGGCATTTTGTTAAATTTTTTTTTATAATTCCTTCGCTTAGAATAGATTCGAAATTTAAAAAAAAAATTTAAATTAATATAAAAAAGAAACCTTCTCCTCTTATCTCTATTCTTGTCTAGATAAATGAAATTTTAGTAGATAATACATATTTATTGTTGAAGGCCAACAGGTTATTTGAGCATTTCAAAGTTGTACACACCAGTATAATTCAATCACCTAAAAATTAAGCAAAAATACTTTGTAGCTTTGTGGAAGTATATGTACGAGTATGTTTGTACGCGTATATTTATAAATAAATAAATAAATACATTTTAGCGAATATATTACTTTTTTTCGTTATTGAAAATGATGGATGTGACGAAAATGGGAACAACTAAAAATAGATGGAAGATTTATAGAAATTTTCTAGCAATATATTGTACATATATTAGTGATAAAAAATTTAAAATAATATTTGTAAACACAAATGAAAATAATACAAAATTCTCAGTTCAGCAATTTTTTTTTCTGTCCTTCGCACGTTGACCCTACGTCATTTGAGTCTCTTTAACTTGCTATTTATTTAGTAGAAAATATTTGTTTTGCCGTCATGGCGTGTGGTATTTATTTATTTATTATTAATTGACATATCTCTTCATACATACATATGCCAGTTGAATGTCTCAGCATTTTATTTAATTAAAAAAAAAATAATGTAAATGAATATTTTATTCATAAAAAATGCCTTACTTCCCTTACGGCAAAGCTACACTATATTTGATATGCAATATGTAGTGCGCGTCAAATTTACATACAGTAGCTATTCGCTACATGGTTCTTTTAACGTTAGTGAGAATTTTTTTATTCGAAAAGTTAAACACAATAAATTTTTATTGTTTGATAATAATCTAATTCCATTTGATTATGCGAAATAAGTTGTAAGTTTTATTTAACGACTTCCCCTCCATTAACCAGCCCACACCTAAGCAATTGCAAATTTAACTATCGTATTCCAGACATCGTCAACATTACGTCATAGATGTAGAAACAAAAAAAAATGTACATATTTGAACTCTGAATAAGCAGCAAGAAAAATATGCACAGCTTCACACGAAAAGAGTGAGATATTTTTAAAAATACAACAGATGATGTGTGTCCCTATAAAGCTACAACAAAGAACAAATTTACTCATTTATACCTACATTTATACATACATACATAAGAACATATATATAAATATATATACTAACAACCCACACATGTTTAAGAAACATTGATCTCAATAAAAAGTATTTAGGCAAAAAATAGAAATAAATAAATTGACAAAATAAATGTCGACAAAATCCCCACTGAGCAACAACAACGCAACATTTGGTAGAACGTTATACAAGTGCACGATATAAAAACTAAAGTAATTTGTAGGTGTGTGTATTTTATTACAACGAATGGAAAAATGAGTGCATTGGCGTCGCTACGCCTACGTTAGAGCCGATGTTGAAACATCGAGAGACGTTTAGAAGAAAAAGTGCTCGTACTTATATACATACATACCAGTACATATACATATGAGAGAAAGTATTGCAAATTTTTATGAATGAATCATCAGCTATGCTGGGAAGTGTACAAACGTAGTTTATAGTAAATGTATCAGCAGATCGATTTGTTTGTAAGTTTTGCAGGATGTCAGATAACAGTTGAATGTGTGATGATAGACAGATATAGAAAACAAAAGTGTAAAGCAAAGTGTTGCCATAAATGGAATTATATATGCACAAAAAAATAAAAACGATTGATAACTATAAATAGAAGGCACAGCCAGAGCTAACCTAACACACGAGAACGTGCCCTACAGCAGCTTTAGAAGCTCTTCTTGATTTTTACACCTCTTTACAAAATCATGGAACTTTCACCTAAGAATGCCCAATTGACGATAATGAAAGAGGATTTAGGTAAAAGAAAAATCATGTCAACCAAAAGGCGAGCAGAAATAAAAGAAAAGAAAAAATAGGAAAAGAGCTCATGAAACGAAGCGCAGATGAAACAAAAAACAAGACCACTCTCGCTTTTTGAGTACAGGGAGGAATCAAAGATTACAGAAGGAATTAGTGCGATGATCACGGATCCCAATGCTATCGATACCAGCATCTTCCAAGCAGAAATATCATGCGCAGATATCATAAGGATCTCAAAAGAAAGAATATTAATCGACATACAGAATTTACAGTGACAGTCAAGCTACACTGAAGGCAATACAATTAAATCGTATATGGTTTGGGTATGTGTCAAGAATCTTAATGCAGTGGCTGCAGGTAACAAAGTTCCCAATTAGGTATGGGAGGGAATGAAATGAGTATATATATAGATTTACATCAACTTCTCCTACGGGACCAGAGCCCTTCTTCCCTATAGGTTCTCACTACAATAAAAAAAAGTGTTAAAAAAATTAAAAAATTAAAAATGAGAAACAGCTACTGGTATACTAGTGATGGGTAAAGAGAAGCAAAAAAGCGTATGCGCGGCTACAATACCAGAAGATTTAGTGACATAATACGACTTAGTAAGAATATCTTGAGAATACTAACATAATTTTTTACAGACCATTGCCAACTGGGACTTGTCACTAATTACTGTTTTTTTTTCGTATAATCAGTATCAGCATATTCTATTGTAGAATCTATAAAGGCCAAGGCTGCATCTTAAATATAAATACTAAGTTAATCAAAAAATTCGAGTTGTTTCGGTTTCGTTTCTTAAGTTGAGCATCGCTGATATAAACTCAGGAGTTTTTGACAATACAAATTCAGCTATTTAAAAAAATCGTAATCCAAAATAATTCGACTTTATAAGAAATTTTATCCAGAGATCAAAAATTACTTTCTTTTTGCGTTATCGAAAACGTTGCCCATGGTTGAAGGAATACTTTTTGTGTTTCTTCATGAGATTTATTTTTAATAAACATTTTTTTTCTGTTACCCATAACCTTTATTTTAAATTTTAATTTTTTAAATTAATTTAATTTTATTAACACGCAATTGACAACGCAATTATGAGGCAAAGTAAAAAAATATATATAAAATAATTATTACTTAAAAGTGAAAAAAATTGTTTTTATAATATAACAGTTTATAACAGTTATGACTCTGATTTGAACCCAAAATTTTATCTGAAAGTGACACCGAAATCACGGTACCATAAATTGCCTGCTTGTGGCTATCGATTAAAAAATATTGCTATTATTATTATTGTTGTAATTAATATTGTTGTTATTAATATTGTTGTTATTAATATTGTTATTATTATTATAATAATAATAATTATTATTATTGTTATTGTTATTATTATAATGTTATTATTATTATTATAATGTTATTATTATTATTATAATGTCATTATTATTATTATCATTATTATTATTATTATCATTATTATTATTATTATTATTATTATTATTATTATTATTATTATTATTATTATTATTATAATTGTTATTATTTTTATTATTATTATTATAATGGTTATTATTTTTATTATTATTATTATTATTATTATTATTATTATTATTATTGTTATTGTTATTGTTATTCTACAGCAAAGTTTAATTACAAAATAATTTTTATACTAATACTTTTTTTATTATCGAAATAAATAGGCATTAAAAATTGTTTGTTAATCACAATTAATTCTTATTTATATGCAACTGGCTAGGTTAGTTTTACTTATAATTTTGAAATTTTCAAAAAAAAAATTACTCATTTATCACCTTTTTACCTTTAACTTCCGCAGGCCGCAACGGTGACTCCAATTCTGAGGACGAGTCATTCAACGATAATGCCAGCGTATATTCCTACGTCTCTGAAAATGCGCCCTCATCCGTCAATGACATCGATGAGTTGTCGTCCAATGAACGTTTCGAGGAGAAATTCATGCAAGCACTCGAAAATGCAACTGAAAAGTCAGCACAGACACGTACCACAGCTCTACAGAATATCTGTGAAATACTAATGCATCGCTATATGCCCGATTTTGTTGAAGATCGCAAAGTGACGCTGATCGATTGCGTTGAAAAGTCCATTAGACGTGGCAAAGGTGCCGAACAATCGTGTGCTGCACGTCTAGCACCGCTGGTGGTACTACAATTGGGTGGTGATGTTGAGATCTCTAAGGAATTGAATCAGTGTCTATTGACTACCGTACAAGATAAGGCTGTTTCATTTGATGCGCGCGCCAAATGCTGTACTGCTTTGGGTCTGCTGAATTTCCTCGGTGGCGAAGATATTGGTGAACTCATCACTTTGATGCAATTCTTGGAAGGTATTTTCAGTGGCAGCTATTTACGTGGTGATGATAAGAGTCCAGTGTCTGTAACTGCTGAGGCTGGCACACTACATGCCGAAGCGCTATCCGCTTGGGGATTGCTATTGACGCTCATACCATCTGGTGATTTCGTCTCACTAATGACCAATGGTCAGCCGATGTTACCGTGAGTTCTTTTTTTTTTACTTTTCGATGAATTTGTCAAAGACACCGATATTTAATTAATATATTTCTCTTATTTTACAGTTCGGTCAAGAAATTAATGGGTCTTTTGCAATCACCACATTTGGATGTACGTATAGCAGCTGGTGAAACTTTTGCGCTTATACTCGAATGTGGTCGTGCTCATGATAAGGACTTTTTAGAAGAATATTTGGGTGATTTGATTGAAGCTGTTAAACAGCTAGCTACTGATTCGCATAAATATCGCGCTAAGCGTGATCGTAAAGCCCAGCGTGCAACATTCCGTGATGTGCTACACTATCTAGAGGTAAGTTATAGGTTAGTTGCTTTCTTTAATTATTTTTAAAGAGTGAAAGTAAGAGAGTTTAATTAGAAAGGAATTATTTAAAGAGTCTAGTTGAAAAATTATTTTCAATTTTTTTTCTTTAAATATAAAAGTAAAGTGAGTTGAGGCCAAATTTTCTATTTTTCGATCGGCTCTAGATAGGGAATGTCAACTCCGCCGAGTGTATTTCTGACATGAAATAAAGGCTCCTCGTAAAATAACCATCAGCCGGTCGGAATTGGCTTAGTATAAAGTGTAGTCCCTCCATTTGTTGGAAAAACATCCAGACGCAAAAACCAAAAATTTTAGGAGCTCGTCCGAAAAGCGCTTCAACGGTTACAAAGCGTCAATTATATATATATAAATGAGTTGTAGTTATTTTTTCTGAATCTAGGAAATCACTTTTCTAGACATTTCAATTTTGTGATTTTTTTATTTAGAAAAATTTACTCGAACTTAAATGTGCAGTGCATATACATATACATTTATTTGTTTATCATTATATTATATTACACCTGCGTTTACATGTACACTATTTTTGTTTTTATTTCATACATCCACTACAGCTAGCGCGGAAATTTTACCATAAATTTAAAGAAACATGTGTAGAATTACATTATAACAGTGTTCAAAAGTTTCGTTAACAGATTTAAAATAGTTTTTTGTTTATAACCTAACTGTACACAAACCAATTCGTTAACAAACTTTTAAAACAACGTTTTTTGCTGGTATTAAAACATCTGTTTTTTCCCTCAAATAAAAGGAATTCAATGTAATGTAATCATACCAAACAAATTTTATTTACAAAAAATATTACTTTAAATTTATCTAACTTTTTCTTTGGGTACTGAAAGTTTTTAATTATTTGTTTGTAGAAAAAAAATTGAAATTCTTTATAATTTAAAAAAAAATTCTTTCTCTAAAGCCTTAACAATTAATCAGAGTGGAGTGTAATACAGCAGATTAGAGAACAGTTTGCGGACATAACGTGGATAATTCAAAATAACACACATCACCTCTTCTCTCTCAATATTTTACTATAGTTCAAACATTCTGCACTCGTTCCTCCGACAAAAGTGACAACACTGCTGAGATACACTTATCAAGAAACGTTACAAACTTTCGCGCTTGACAGCTCTAACGCTCTGCTTGCTCAACGCACATGATTTATGCACACATTCAACAACGGATGACGGCAATGTTTTCCATTGCTACCGCACTTACTGTGATCATGTATATTATTTTTCATTATAACACAACCATTACGACTTATAGTCTCCATATACTCGGAGAAATTTGTGCGTGTCACAAATGCTTTACTACGCCAATGGGAATTATTGCCACTATTAATGAAGCGTGAACTATCGGTAAAGGAGATCTTAAATGGTTTGTACGCATGCTCACAAGGGTCGGTAATGGTTGGATTGCGTATTTGATTATCCAATTCCTGCATAACATTGGCGCGAAAAACATCGCAGGGTCCCTCCTTTTGGAGTAGTTTTGTTGCATTTAATTTCGTTGTGTCATCCTTCTCTTTGAGACTCTCGTATATACCCTCGGGATATTCATTCATATTACCATAATCTATTTGATATGTTGTGAAGAGACGTTGACGTTCCAAACGTCTATTTAGCTCATCTTTCGGCATTTGCTTGAGACGATCATACAGATCGGGGTAGGCGGTACGTAATATTTGTAGAAAACGATTCGGTTGTGCCTTAAAACAATCAGCATCGGTATCTTTGGCTAAGTTATCAGCCTGCTCGGGCGTCAATTTCGTTGGTATGATACGTGGATCGATTAGGCGACCCATAGGCGCAATGCCCGTCCATTCTGCAGCACTTTCGCATTTCTCCTGCGCCGCTTTTGGTATCTCAATTTTTGCCGTATCAATGCATTGGCATTCTTCCTGCTCTTTGTCCGCTTTGCCTTGTTTCTTCACGAATTCATAACGTTTGGCGTAAGGCGGCACATAGTCGTGCTGGTAGGTGGTCACAAGCATGTTGCCAAAACAAAAAAGTTTCTATAGGATTAGGTGGAAATGTTAACACTTGCAGATTTTAAGCACGAAAAATTTTGCAATTTTTTTTATGTAATTTTAAGAATTTTTTTGTTAAAAAAAAATACAAGATAGAAAATAATGTGTTTTTTATTTATAAATTTTAATTTTTTTGATTTAAAGAAATTTTGAAAAAAATACTGATTGACAAGAATTTCATGTAAGAGCAGTTTGTAGAGTATAAAATATTTCAAAGAAGATTTCAATGTTTTAGTTATGTGTTGTAAGGATGATAAGAATTATTGTTTAAAGAAATCAACTTGAAATGCAACATTATGCATTTTTGAAATAATATTGAATTATACTTTGATAAATATTTTTATTTTTAACTGCAGTCTGTATGCAGAAATCTAAATTTCAAACCTATATTTGCTTATATAATGGAATTTTGAGTGAAAATTTAATAATTTTTGATTTTATTGAGGTAATAGTCGTAAAAATAGGTTAAAAAATTGAGTTGGTTTGGCCAATGTTGAAGGATATAATACTTTTTTGCTTTGGGTTTGTGTACAAAGCTAAAAATTGTAGTACGATTTTAGCGGTATTAAACGCCCGTGTCGAAAAATTTAAACTTACTCTTTATTTTTGTGTGAAAATTAAAATAAGTAGTGAGTGAAAAACATATGTACATATATTATTATATACATTTAACATGGAGTGCCAAGAAACACATATTGCGTGCTTACATACATACAAGTATATTTGTCCACAATATTTAACTAAAATTTGAAAACCAATTTTATGCCAACCAAAATTTTCTAACCCATTCTAGGAGGATACATCACCTGAAATCAGCATACGCTTCGGCACCGAAAGCCTTGTATTGGACTCCTGGGCCATACATCATCAATATTCGGCGCTGTGCACAGTTATGGGTCCTGGCATGACATCACAGTTGCAAGAAAACGATTTTATACGTGACATCTTTCAGTTGGGCGCCAAACTTGTCGACGATGGACATGGCAAAGTCAAACAGTCGAAATTGGAGCGTGTAAGTGTTACCGATGACATATATATTCATATACATCGTATACTTCATTATAAATAATCAACAACGAAAATTAATATATGTATGTATATATATTTGTAATTACAGCACCTAATGAATGCCGCCGCCTTCAAAGCACGCACAATAACGCGTGGCAAGAATCGTGACAAACGTTGCAGTTATAATTACTAAACCAACACAATTGATACGGAAGCAGGGAATGAAGGATTAAACACGCTTAAACTAAGTAAACAAATATTTTGAGTGACGCATACATTTGCGTCGCACCATAGAACAGAGATCGGCAGACCGACTAACAGCTTAGTTAAAACAGTGGCGCATGACGCTGAAGTGCTGGAAAACTAGTTGTTCATGCGCATTGTGCAGCGGGTGAAGAATGTATACTTTTAAATGCAACAACTTGGCGAGTGGCCCGAAGACGTATGCATATAGTACGATGTTGTTTACGGCACTACTTCCATTGTTGTTGTCCTTTAATGAATTGTATTTTTCATTATTGCATGCCAATAGAAATGCGACCAATTTTCCAGTTAGTGTATGTGTATGTGCGCCACTCTATTTTCACAAAAAAAAAAAAAAAAAAAAACGTTTCGAAGCTTTGCTGAATTTTGTGTACTTTTCTTTTGTGCTCAACGCTCTCTCGCTGGATTTAATGCAACGAATTCGTGTACACAATATTTATGCAAATCTTATAATTAACATAAATTTATGTAGCAGTTTGACGATATGAAATTATGATTAAATTGATAAAAAGCAAAAAAAAAATTAATAAATAAAAAAATAAATAAAAATATATAAAGTTTTACATACCACTTACAATACAAAAAAAAAATATCATACTACAATATGCATATATATAAAATAAATGTAAAACAAATGCTAGTTGAATTCTTTACAACGACAGCAATTAACTTGAAAACCCTTTGTCAAATTCAACAAGTATATACATTCTTACATGAATATTATTTTTAAATATTTTAATTTGTACACAATTATTTAAGAAAATAATCTTTCGATTTACATATAATACATACATACCTATATTTTGCATAATAATGCTTTATGTTTAAAATTTTTGTTGCTGAATCAATTATAAAAACCAAAAATATTGAAATAAAAAGATTACAAAAAAAAATTATGAGAAAACTGAAATTATTGAAAAATATATATAAAAAAAAATATATATATATATATAAAATATATATTGCACAAGTAAACGCACTTTGATTTAAAAGAGAGCGTTTAAATGCTTTAAATGTACATACATAAAAGTTGCTTCAAAATAAAATTAGATCTTATAAGTTGCAGAACAAAGATTCTGCCTCATTGATTTAAGATGCTTAATTTCTGTCCATATGACGGTCACGCACTCCATGTGCTTTCTGCAGCAGTGGTAAATTATTATATTATTTTTTATGTCGAATATGTGCTGGTATTAAGTTGGATATGAAGTTTATATATAAAGTTTTTCTATTATATTTAACCATTTTACTTTGCTTTTTTTCCTTTAAAAAAATTTGTTGTTTTAAGATTTTCATTGTTAAGTCATAGGGAAATTGAAATTAAACGTTATTATTTTAAATTTTTCTTTGTGTTGAAATAAGAAATTTAATAAGTTTGTTTTGCTATGAAAGTAGGTTTTAAGAAATGTTCAAGGAAAAAAGGTTGATTCATGTAAACCACTACTGCACATTTTCTGTTTTTTATTTTATATATTTTTTTTTAATAATTAAAATTAAAATAGTTGCAAAAAGTGTTGCCGAATAAAAAACTTAAACTGCAATTTTTTTCAATAAATGTTCGAAAATTGAATTTCTACCTCGTTGTTTTGAACAATTTTAAACAGAAAAAATGTTGTTTACGTATATAAAGTTTTAATATCTATACGTTCAATGCTAAACTATTTTGTATGAAGAAGTGGCATTGCAACGTTTATTCTTCAGAAAAGCTTTTTTTTCTACGTTTTGCTTCTTCGAAGTTGAAAAAAAAAACAGAATTTAATGAATTTTTTGAATTATGTAAATAAAATTTATAAACTCAATACGATAAAATATTGAATAAAATTATGTCGAAAAATGTATAATTTGATTCTAGTCTGAGCTACAACCTTTTCTCTGAGAAAACCTAACAACAATATAATAAAAAAAATTTATATATGTGTGCAGGAAAACATAAAATTTCGAGCTGCTAAAATATAACTTAACTGCATATTAAACTTTCTCATTAATTAATTTGTAATAATTTATAAAACTTCTTTGTTGTTGTATTTTCACAAATAGTTTTAGTTATACTTTTCCTGCCATTCAATGGCTGTTAATACTTATTATACAATAACTACTGCAGTTACTTGGAAATAAGTAGAGCAAAATAATTTCTCTTAACTTGATAAGTATATTAAATAAAGAAAAAAAATATTAAAATATTACAATAGCATTAAGTGATAAAAAGCTTACCACTTAAGATATATGGTTCAATTTGATGTGTTCGTCCTTTGCGACTATAATTCCGCGCATATAAGTAGAATAAATAGTCAGTTATAATGCCACATTGAAAGCGCTTAAGAAATATACATACGTACGTATTAAATTATTATTATTAATATATTATTTTTTAACTTTTATGGCCAACATTTGTTCATAAAATATTTATGAAAACTCAAAAGGCAGGTTCAAAAATTTGTTACTATAAAAGTTAAAAATTGCAGAAAAAATATATATGATTTACAAAAAGTAATTTTTGCAGACTCTCGCATATCATTGAGGCTGTAAAAAAATTAGTTTGTGTTTTTTTTTCTGTTTAATTTTTTATTAAAAAGTAACACACACTTTTTGTTTATGTAGAAAAGCTCACTAATTTCTATTTTATTTTTACTTTGAAAATTTGCCCCCTCCAAAACTCTATTTTTTGATACAATTATTAAATTGCGTCACATACATAGATATAAAAAAAAATTAATTAGTTTTTGTCTATAGTAAAAATGTTCACTTATTAAAATAGCATATAAATAAATATACAATATGCATACATATTTATATATTTAGTATACAATAAATCAATTAGCAGTCGAAACAATTTTCTTTTTAAGTTAGCTGTTTGTACATACATACATAGTGCATACATACGAAAATACATAGTACATATTTAAAAAAAAAAATAATAATAATAAAAAACGCGTTAAGCACCAAAAAAAAAAAAATGAAATAAAACTGTATAGTATGAAATAAAGAATTTGAAGTGAAATAAAGAATAAAACGGGTTCAAAACAAACCGTAACACTTTTGAGTTTTAATTTCAAAAAAAAAAAAATTAATTTATTTGCATACCAGCTGTGTGGGTAACTTTTGTTCGGCGGTGGCCTGAAATGACTCGCCATCGTCTGTGGTTCGTCCTATGGCAGTAGTCTCCTTTAGAACCCGAAGAAAGCCTTTTTTCAGTAATTTTTTTGAAAGGGAAGGAAATTATTGCGGTGAATAAAATTTCCAGACAGACAATAATGTAATATATTAAAGCTTCGAAAAACAATTTTTAGTATAAAAAATATTGGAATTTTCCTGAAGCGGCTGCAGTCTGAACTCGTCAAAACGCACCGGTGATGGAAGGCATCTGAATCAGTCGAACTAAATTTTTTTTAAATTTATATTAGTGTCTCTTCGATATGAACCAAGGCGAATTTTTTTATAAAAAGACTTTGGGAAATTCAATTTTTTGTCAAAGTTTAGAAAAAAATCACTTAAATTGCAAAAAAAATAAATAGTTTAAATAATACTTTTGTCAAACTTTTTTAATTCAAATATAAGATATTTTAATACTCTAGCTGGATCGATCGGACACTTGTATATTTTTTTGCTACCATCGGCAAAACTTCGTAAGACTTGCAAAATATGAAAACGCGCTTCAAACCGATTCGACGCTCGGCCACTAAAACTGCTCTAGCTTCTAAAATATGCCGAATTGGCCACTGAAATTTTTAAGATATATTCTTGGTTTTGTTGAAACCTCTAATGCAGACCACTGCCTTATGAGCAGCGTCATATCTTCGAAGATAGTCGAAAGTCGTTTCTGCTCATTGCCGATCGGTGCCAATTGAAGAAGGCTTCCGGTGAAGTGCTTCCTTTTTCCCCTTTTCTTTCGAATATTTCGTTGCCTCTTCTTACAGCTGTCAGTTTTACGTTAATATTCAGCCTTATTTTTCTCGTCTACAACTTCTGCAGAAGTCGTTAGATAGTACATACAAACCTCTCTGCGTGTCTGCCCAGGATAATATGCCCTGTAAAAGGATCTATAACTGTAGAAATCATTTTCCTTTTTGGTTCGATAAGACCACGTAACCTTCTTCTCTCTCTTATATTGAGCTTACAAGTGGAGAGCGTCATGACCAAACTTTTCTATGATGAAAAATGTGAAATAGAAGTGCCTTCCTAGTAAATTCGTCCGCCATTTCATTAGCCGGGATAATTACATTACCGGTATATTACTATCCATTCAGACACATTTTGTAGTCTTATCGTAGCGCAAGCAGCATTAAGCAGCCCGATAATATCGATCTAAGAGGACATTCATTGACTAAGTTGGTGTGGTACGAACTGCTCCGCTGGTACAAAAGGGGGTGGCACCTGCAGTCTATCGAATTCGGAGATGGTTAATTTTTTCTCGAGTGCTGGCGACCAGACTACGACTTCATAGCGCAGTAAAGGCCTAACAACTGCAATATAAATCCAATACACTATTTTAGGTGCCATACCCCATTTCGGGCCTATCGTATTTTTGCAAGCAGGATGCGTAAGGCATCCTGAGTTCTGTGATCAGCTTAATTTCCTGTCCAAGATGAGTCCCAGGAAATTTACAGAATCAGTAATTTGGAATTTTATACTTTCACTTCTCTATCCGACTTATTCGGCTCTGCATGATATTACATAAAGTTTGTGGCATTTTGACCGTCACAATAACCGCTAGATCGTCTACAAATACTATGACTTTGCAGCCCCTCTCCTCCTCCATGTAACTCGGCAGTTGGTTCACTGCCAAAACCTACAGAAGAGCCGAAATGACTTTACCTTATGGGGTTATTCTGCTGACATACCTAGTTGCCGATACCCCGGTCAACTGTGATGTCATTAGAAAACATTGAGGTAGTCCTTCAAGGGGTGCCATCTTAGAAGGTAAACACTTATTACATTACTTCTATTATTGAGGTGCAATTGAACATTTTTTACTTGTAAATTTAAGTTCAAATTAAATGCTAACAAAACATTTATTTATCTTAGCAAATTTCCTCCTTCTTCCCTAGTACACCTAGTACATTATTTTTCTTTTGCTTCATCTTTTTTTCGAAAATATTTCTCATATTGACAGCAGCATGACCGATTGCCGATTGATGCCAGGTGTCGCGCTGTACATAAACTTCTTTCATTAGTTCATCAAATTCTATACCCGTCTGTAGGGATATACTACGCACAGCAGCTTCCAAAGCTTTATCCGCTTTGTTATAGGGACAGGGCATAAAATTGAAGTCATCGCTATCTATTAGTTCATTCATTTGCTTCTCTTCCCTGTCGGTCATCTGTAAGGGTAATATTTTACGGTCCAATAACCTGCCGAATCTGGAATTCGAGGTCCATTCTAAACGCTTTGATAATTCATCGTTTTTTTGCTGTTCCTTTTCCACTGTTGGTTTCTCCTTCCTAATCCGTTTGAGTTCCAATCTTTTGAATGCTTCAACAATCTCTGTTAGTTTTATAGAGATATATAGATTTTCAATATGCAGA